TAACCAAATTCCTCTCTAATTAATTTCATTCTCGTTAGGGAACTTTTTCAATAACTAGCTTTCAGAACAGCATTTAGCAAGGTAAAAATGACTAATGCGGGGCAACCTTAAGGATAACGGAAAACCAAACTATTTAAAATTACTTAATATAATAAACTAATAATATGCGAGTATAGTTCAGTGGTAGAACCTTAGACTGCCAGTCTAATTACGCGGGTTCGATTCCCGTTACTCGCTCCATTTTGGCGAATATGGCGAAATGGTTAACGCACCAGTTTGTGGAACTGGCATTCGTGAGTTCAATTCTCACTATTCGCCCCATTAGAAAAATGTGGGGTTCTTTAATTTTGTTTTCTCCCCCCAAAAGAAAAGTGTTTTCATAATTGAGTCCGGCGGTTTTGTGTTTATTTCTAGCCATCTTTGGCTAGTTTTTTTTCCGCCGGACAACACAATTGTAAACAATAAATAATGTAGTTATATGTTTATCATACAAAGAGTCGGAATTAGAAAATCTAAAAATGGATCTGAAAGTTTGCCAGAGAGAAAAAGATGAAGTATGAGAAAGTTTTTGGTGGATTTTGTGAATATTTTTACCAGTTTTAGGTTGAATTATTTTGGTAATTATCTTGATAGGAAAATTAAATAAAAGTACTCGATTAGAAAGAGAAGGCAATGAATTGCGAGAAAAAATTAGAGCAGAAAAATATCAAAATAAGTAATTATTATTAGCTTTATGAATAAGGAAAAAGAAAAAGAAGTCGTTGAACGGTTTACCGAAAATCTCAATCAAAAGGCTAAAATCAACGAATTAGCCGTAATTGGAAGGGAAAAAGAGATGAAGGAATTAATTTGTGTTTTATCACGAGTGATAAAAAATAATCCATTGCTGATTGGCCATCCAGGAGTGGGAAAAACGGCGATAGTAGAAGGCTTGGTTCAGAGAATTAAGAAAGAACAAGTACCCGATTATTTAAAAGGCAAAACCATTTACCAACTTGATATGATGGCTCTAAGAGCCGGAACTAAATTTCAAGGAGAATTGGAAACTCGACTGAAAATGATTTTGAATTATATGGCTCAGCCAGAAAATAATGCCATTCTCTTCATTGACGAAATTCACATGATTGTCGGGGACGGAGGAGGTCAAGAGGTTCTTAATATTGCTAATTTATTAAAGCCAGTGCTTTCGCGGGGTGAAACCCAGTGTATTGGAGCAACCACTCAGGAAGAATACCGTAAATATATTGAGAAGGACAGGGCC